CTAATAAAGGATGTGGAAGTTGTAATATCACCAGACAAAATATCACTAGTTGATATAGTGCTGGATTTAGAAACATTAAAATTATTTTTATTGGATGGTGTTTGCTCGTTAAAAGTTTTGATTAGTTTTCCACCAACTACACGCGCTGTTAATCCTTCTTCGTCGACATTTTCAACAGACTTATTTGGTTGAGATTTTCCTTTATTAGTATCTAGTTCTTTTATGTGTTTTGTTTCATCTGGTCGATCTGCTGATTGATAGATGGTTTCGGAAGTTTTAAAATTTAATTGATCACTTTCTACAAATGAACTTGAAACTGAAGTTTGTTCGTTTGTTGAAAACGATGTTGAAGTTGTAATATTACTTGATGAAATATCACTAGATGAAATGTTACTTAAATTCGACACATCATTTCTATTTTTTTTTGAAGTTTTGGGTTCTTTAAAGGTCTTAATTAACTTTCCACCTACCATACGTACAGACGAACCTTCTTTGTCCACAATATCTACAGTAGTTATTGATTTAGACTTGTCTTTTATAACGTCTAACTGTTGTTTGTTATTTGACTCATCTAATTGGTCAGTTTTTTTATTTGCAGACTGAGATTTWTTAGATGTTTTTATATCAGATTTTTCAGTTTCTTCAAATGAACTTGAAAACGATGATTGTTCATTCGAGATAAATGAAGTTGATGTTGTGAAGTCACCAGACGAAATGTCACTAGATGAAATATTACTTGATTTAGAAAAATCAGAACTGTTTTTCTTGGTTGATGATGGCTCATTGAATGTTTTAATTAATTTTCCACCAACCATGCGCACTGTCAAACCTTCTTCGTCGAAATTATTAATAACTTTTTCGTTTTTAAATTTGTTATTCTTAACATCTGACTGTTCCTTGTTTTTAAATTTATCTTGTTCGTTTATAGTTTGATGGATAGAATTAGAGAWWTTTGAATTTGATTTGTTTGTTTCTCCAAATGAACTCGAAGTAGATGATTGTTCATTTAAAATAAAGGATGTTGATGTTGTGATATCACCGGATGAAATGTCATTGTTTGATATATTACTTGACGTTGAGATATTTGATATATTTTTTTGAGTTTTTGTCGGTTCTTTAAAAGTTTTTATTAATTTTCCACCAACCATACGTACTGTTAAGCCGTCATCTAATGTTTTTGAATTTTCATTACTCGATGACGTTATTTCATCAATTTCTTGATTGGATCTTGAAAAAATCGGTATATATTTTTGTGTTATGAACATCTCAGAACTATAATCATTGGATTTATCTGTAGATACATTTTGATCAATTATATCTGATTCAAATGAAGATTTTAGGTTATTTTTATACTGCTGCTTATTACTATCAATAGTGTATGGCATATCCACCTCTTTAGTATTCGTAATATTTTGAGATTGTTTAGACTTTGACGGTGTACTAAATTGTTTTATCAACTTTCCACCGACCATTTTTACTGTTAATCCCGAACTTATTTCGTGGTTATTTTCATGGTCCCGTGAAGTATATGATTTTTCTTTAGTGTCATTTAATAAATTAACAGTATTTGCAGATGTTTTTAATTCTATTGATTCAGTRTTAATTTGTTGATTGTTTTTACCATAATTTATGTTTTTTGTTTTGTCAAGTTGGGTGGTACTCGACGATTCATTTTCGGATGAATTTATATTTGTGTTAATTTTTGTGTTTGTAACATCGACTTGTTTGCTTATATTTGGCTGATATGAATAATTTGAGTTATCATGTGACATGTCATCAATGGATTTAATTAATTTTCCATTTATTGAACTTACTGTGTTTCCGTGTTGTGTTGTATCCTGTATGTCCAACAGTTGTTTTGATTCGGAATTAACGTGTGAGGTAACGGTATTATAATTGGTCTCTGTAGACATCGATTGATTAATCGATGATGATTCATTTTCAAAGTTCTTTGATGAAGTTAAACGATTTGATGTAAAATACGGTGGTGAGTTCAATCCCTCCGCCGTTTCTATGGCACCTTCGAAGGAATATTGGTCATCATACTCGACGTACACATTGGCCGAATCTGCAGCGTTCGACTCTTCGGTAGTGGTTTCTGTGGTCGATTGTGGTATGTCGTCAACCGTTTCCACGGTTGTATGGATATTACCATCTTGATCAACGGTAGTGATGGTCTTAATGCTTTTACCAGTTGTAGTCTTTTTTATGGAAGATGAACTCAATGATTTTGAAATCGAAGCAGTGGATGATGATTCTGCAGCCTGTCTGGAAACAACGCCTTTGACTAACGTCTTTTTTGCTGTCTGCGGCGTTGAACTGCGCCCTTTACCGCTTACGTTCAATGGCTGTTCGTTAGCTACTTTACTGCTGAACATTTGTTTCGGAACCACTGTCGAGCTTTCATTCTTAATAATAGTTTTTTCACTTACCTTAGCAGTGTCACTTACAGATCGATTTTTCGTGGGGTCTTTGGTTTTTTTTGTAGATTTAAACATTTTTTTTTTAATTATTATTATTATTTAAAATAATTAAACAAATAATAATTTAAAGATACTTAGAGCACTTCAATAGAAACAAAAAAAATACTCGACGCACACTAACGATCGCACAAACAAAAATATAAATATTTAAAATAATTAATAAACAGTATAACAACAGAGCGAATGAGTACAGCGTTATTCGACTACTGACGAACGAGAATCTCGCTGAACGATGTGCTTCGTAAATCGAAGAGGTGGCCAGCAGTAAGTGGGATACGCCTTCAYAAACCTCCACAACACTATTATAATGCAACTCTCTTAAACCCGTTTCGTCCTACGCCAACTACCTATGACAATTTTTATCTTACTCATCATTAATAGTTGCTTTTTWTTAACTAAATACATTTATTATTTAAGACTTTTTAATATTTTAATATTTAATTTTTTTGTAATTATCAATATATGATTCGTGCTTAATCGTTATCAGCATACACGTAATACATATTAATTATTACCTTTTATTTTAAATTACACTCACATTTTTCATCAAATACAAAATGTAATTATAATCAATTATTGTTAATATAATAATACCTATATAAAAATGGGTTAATCTTATTCGTCCTAATAAATTATGTTGAATATTAAATAGTATAGGTATTAAAATTTTTTTTATTAGTATTTGTGCATTTATTTCAGTATCTAGGTGGCTAGGTATACTTTGTTATTTTAGTTGTTGATGCTTATGTTATGGCTTATCTGTAATAATACTTAGGTATATAGAAACTAGAAAGATAAAAAAAATTAAATCTTTAACACTTACCTATA